TATCCAAAGGATTTGGTGTGCTGTCTGGGTATAGTGTGATATGTGTCACTTTCCTAAGTGGTCGTATGAAAAATATATATTCTATTCGGGGTATAGGATACTGTTGTACCTCGAGATATGGAATTATAGTTATCTTAAAATATTCAAAAATGCATAACTTTCCATTATATTTCAATATCGGAACTATAGGCGTTGTCCAATCAGAAAATTCCACAGGAATTCTTTTGAACCAAACGTTCAAGTTCCTATTTAATTTTGGGTTTCAGCACAAAAACAACGGGTCATGCTTTGCAAAATTTTGGCCCTTTCTTTAACCTCAAATGAATTTCTTGTTTATTAAAAGTACTCTGTGAATCATCAAAAATATCTTTGAATTGCTCTATTACATCGGAAACACTTCGTACAATTTTCACGTTCATTTTATTAATGTATCTGATTTGAGATATTCCGAAATTTAACATGTTTAACCCATTCCTACCTATTAAAGGCGGTCCTCCGTTTTTTATAACGTAAATTTTTAATCTATATAAATTTTGTTCATAAAGAACATTTAAATAACCAAACGGTTCAAATGTTACCCCAGTATAATCTTTCAAAAAAGTTTTTCGGAAATTGTAGTATGCATAAATCCGGAATCTGCTTCTAAAATTTAATGGAACATTTTCAACTATCAATTTAATATATTTAATATAAATTGATTTCATATTACCTTTATCATCGAAAGATATACAATCTAAACTTAAATCACATGTTCACAATTTTCTTCGGTGAAGTTGTGTTTCCTTGACTGTGAACGGTTACACACTGAAGTTACAGTCTGTTCGCTATACTTACGCGGGTTTCGGATTAACAAAATTATGCAAATTAGTCATTGACAACCAGTTCCAATAAGCCTCTTCCCAAGAAATTAGGTAAAATTGCTCTAATGGTCAGATTTAAATTAAAATACCATTAGGGAACTGGTTGTCAATGACTAATTTGCATAATTTTGTTAATCCGAAACCCGCGTAAGTATAGCGAACAGACTGTAAGTGGTGACCTCTGTGTTGCTCGCTCGATTTGTGGTTTTTGCGACCGCATACACTACACAACTGCAGTGAAATATTTTAAAATTCTTGCCTTGATGAACCCGCTTGTGAAGAAAAACCATAATTTTATGTCTTCTTTACACCTGTATTTTTAACAAAATTTACCCTGTCACTTTTTATATTAATACCAGACTGTAATTTATTTGATATATTTCTTGCGCTGTTGCTTCTCTCGTTTGCACAATTTTTATCATTTTAGATAACGTGGTTCCGGTTTTCATAGGATTTTCTTTAAAACTACTATCTCTTACACTGTTTTCCCCCAGGCCAATTGTAAAAACATCTTGAATAAGAGTTTCTATCTCTGAACCAAAACTGCATGTTGAGGCCAAACTTTTAACACGAACTGACTTCTCCGAAACAGTTTCGTTTTCAAATTTTCTAGCGCTATAAAACTTGAGACGGTCTGCAAAAATCGATTTCACCGGCAAGAAAAAATCACTCAAAATGTTTTATCAGTTTTTGTGTCTGGAAAATCCGGTGTACATAAATTTCGTAGCAAAATGTCTCTTCACTTAACGAACATAACAAGATTCCTTTTTGCCGATTAGAGTTTTCGATATTATTTGCAATAAATAGCTGTTTTAATCGCTCTTTAAAAACTAGAAAATCCGACACTTTATAATTAGTATATATAGGGCATTCCAATAAGAGATTTCGAATGTTTTTATTTGCTACTCTTCTTATCTCAAACTTTTTTTGTTATTCGGGTTTTATTGCACTGGGGAATTCAGTACAATTTTAACAATGGTGCGCTACACAGTCGAACAGTGTGTTTATATTATTAAAACATATTTTCAAAATAAGCGAATTCGTGATTACTTTGGTGTACGCAATCGTCGCTTAGAAGCCATTCGCAAAATAATGCATAAATTCGAAACTACCGGATCTATGCAAGATATCAAAACAAAAGTACGGGAACGTCCAGCTCATTCGGTTGAGAAAATTCAGGCTGTTCGGGAAAGTGTAGCTGAAAATCCACAAATGTCTGTTCAAAAGCGTTCACAACATTTAGGCATCAGCAGAACAGGAGCTAAAGCCAGCCTATCATCGACAACACCTTGCTTTTAGCAATTGAATTCTACAGAGGAAGGCAGAGGACAATAATTTTTGCAATAAAATAATTTTCAGTGACGAAGTTCATTTCCACTTGGAACGGTTACGTAAATAAGCAAAATTTTTGCATCTGTGGCAATGAAAATCCTAGGCAGATTCACGAAAAGCCAATGCATGCTCAACGTGTGACAGTTTGGTGCGGTTTTTGGGCTGGGGATATCATTGGTCCGCAGTGGCGGTTTGCCCGTAAGGGCACTTGGGCACGTGCCCTAGTATAATAAACAAACAAAAAATAACTTATATTTTATATTTTCCTCAATGCCTATTATTATTTTATCTAATATTCAGCGCAAACCGCGTTGGCACGACACTGGACGACAGGGCGTTGAGCGACGTTCCGAAGATGGGCATAGTAAATGTGTGCCTCTGTTGTTTTCTCTCTCATTATGATGCGAAAAACAAGGACAACGACAATATCGCTTAGCAAGAGATGAACACTACGTCACAAGCAGAGCGTTGTCCCAGATTAACCTACACCAGATACGAATGTACGCGGCGGCAATAGCCTAGAGCTCCCACCACTTTCTTCCTAGATCCAGCGGAAGAAATAGTACGGACGATTGCGTTGGCTCCAGTTTCAGCAGAGCTTGCGACCCTTGAACGTTTAGTCCGACCGCCTAGGTTACAAAACATCGCCGAACTTGTGAATTTGTGAAATTTATTATGACGGGATATAAATTTGTAGATGTTGTACATCTGAAAATAGAGATGGGATAAAATTTAAATTTTTCTTTGGTTTTGTCCTTTTTAGATAATTTCAAATCTCTGTTTGCATATTTAAGAGTATAAAAAATTCTGAGTCATATAAATAATTTAACGGTGTACATTTTCGCAAATTGTTGGCAAAGATGACCAAATTCTATTTTGCTCATCTCAAAAAGGTATGCGTTGGAAATTCCAGGCTTAGTTGACAAACTATCAAATAGAGATATAAATATTTTTTCTAATTTGAAAATATAAAAGAGAAATTTTTCGCTGAGAGATTTTAAATTGCCAAACACCTTTTTTTCAGAGTCGTATGCTTTAAAATGCGTTAACAAGTTAGAATTGTTAAGTAAATTGCATTCTTCTGAGAAATGTACGCAAATTTCGCAAGAGTGGATATGTAATGATTTTTTGATTAAATAGCCACATACATAGTTAAATGCATTTTGAGTGGTCACATTTAGCTCCCTGTAGTCACATTCAGAAATCTTTATTGCCCCAACTGATTGTTTTGAAATATATTTAATTTTAATTAAGCGGAGAACTTGTTTACCTAAGGGAAAAATGAATCCCGGGATTCCTTTCCAGTGTGTGCCCCACTGCCGCTAGTGCCATGAGCCGCCACTGTTGGTCCGTATTTTTTTGAAAATGAAGACGAACAAGCTGTTATAGTAAACGAAGAGCAAAACCGAACGGTGATTGATGTTTTTTATGGGATGAGATGATGGACATGGTTGTAGACAATGGAGTCTATTCTGTAACAATTCCCTTATATTTAACGGCCTTTAAAAATATTTTCTTCTTTACTTCTGTCATTATTTAAACGGATCTTTAAAATACATTAGAGGACTATCTTAAAGAAATCTGTTTAAATAATGACAGAAGTAAATTAACGAATACGAACATATTTTTATGGGCCGCCAATATTTTTAAAGGCCGTTAAATATAAAGGAATTGTTACAGAATAGACCCCAATATGTAGTTCCAACAAGATGGTGCGACTTGCCATATAGTACGAGAAAAAACATTAAATTTATTGCGTACACGGTTTGTAGAGAGGATTATCTCGAGGAATGGAGACGTAAATTGGTCACCAAGATCATCGAGTATTTTTGTGGGTCTACGTGAAAAGCAAAGCTTACGAAAATAATCCACTAGCCATTCAACAATTGAACAAGAAATTACACGAATAATACGTGACATAACTTCAGAAATGTGTTTAGAAGTAATGAAAGTTTCAACAAAAAAATAATGTGCTACCGGAGAAGTCGTGGTGGTCATTTGTCAGATATTGTATTCCACGTATAATTGTACACTGTTCAGCTACACACGGCCATAAATAAATTTCAAGTATGTTATATAACTTTTATTTTATTCGTTACCAACATTCGAAACCTCTTATTGGAACACCCATTATTTGTCCAAATTAGAAATACGACAGAACTGAAACTTCCACGGCTTTATTTTGTGGCATTATTTTGAATGACCCGAACTGGGGACCACCTTTTATCAGTTTTTTTTTCTTTTATCTAAATGAGTTACAACACCACTGGAATAATTTGATTTGTGATTTAATTTAATTACAAGTTTGACATACTCGTCGCCATTCTTAAGATAGTTAATGAATAAAAGCCTTTTATAATTCTAATATTTATTCTTTAACTAAATTCAAATTGGCTTGTAAAGCATACATGTGTACTTCGTCGATACAGTTTTATCGCGAACTCCATATAAAAACCCATCCAAGAAATGTTAAACAGGGTCGGCTTCAGGACGCAACGCACATTATATAACATATGGTTCCTAGGATTAATAACTGACTAAAGCTTAAATGGTTCAAAATCAATCTTTTTCTGGCATACTGTTTTCAAAAACTCTATCGCCGTTCAACTTATAGATATCAAACTCCAACAACTTATTTATAAAACATCATTGTTTTAACTATAGTAACCATATTCAGTTTGAAACCTTTCCAAACTAATTAAATACTAAATTCGAAGATATCATAATTTGTAAACTCAAATTTCGTTATTTTTTAAAATTTACAAAAACTTAAACTGTGGCCTAAATAATATTGTTAAATTGTTTTAGGAAAAGTTGGGAGACAACGGTGTCCTGTTATACCCCTCAGCGCCGTTCCCAGCAAGTTACCATCATGCTTCTTATTTGCGCCCATGGAATTTCCACTTTTTCGTAATTTGGAATGTACTTAAATTTCCCGTAACGCAAGTACCTATGGGACTAAGCAAGGATGGTTTGCCCGTTGGTATACAAGTAGTGGCAGCACCGTACCAGGACCATCTATGTATAGCGGTAGCTAAAGAATTAGAGAAGGCTTTTGGTGGTTATGTGCCACCTTTTGAAACCGAATAATTGTTTTTTACATTTTGCTTTAATTATAATTATTGAATTAACGTGTTAACAAGATCAAATTTTTCCACCCTTTCTTATAAAAAGCGAAGTAAAGTTAAAAAGTGATATTTTTTAATGGCAGTTATTTTTTTTTTTTTTGTAAAACTATTTTAATAAGTATACATTCCTTGTGTTTTGTTACACCTCATAAAATTTTTGAATAGATTCTATTTTTATAATAATTGTTAAAAAGTGAGCAAATATTATTGCTGGATAGATATAATTTATTTTATTAATGAAGGGCAGGTTATTTTTAATACATAATTTACAAAATAGCTATTTATATACCAAGTGCGTTATATAGATGCTAACACCTGAAAGACGACAGAATACACCAAAGGCCTTTAGCCCGAGGGATGGATGTCGCAGGCTGGGCGTTATCATCTAATTACAAAATTTTATTTTCCATAAAAATATTTGTTTTCTTTTGTAATGCATATTTTCAAGTAGATAAGTAGCCTAATGCCAGATGTTGATACTTTGATATTTTTTTTATTGTATTTGTCAGAATATGATCTTTCAAATTTAGTATCCTACTAGCTTTAAAAATTGCTATAAATAAATTATTTTGGTAGTTTAATAACATTATTTAAAATTATTGTTAGTTCTGTGCACGTTTACTTCTTTTATTTCTCAGAAAACAAGAAAACTTGTGTATTTTTAGCAACCAAATCCAAAATAATAAGCAAGTGGAAAATAAAATATTTTCAGTAATAAACATCAGTATAAAACAGGTGACCAAAATGGGACAAAACGGATTAACTTTCATGATTTGAAAAACTAATCTAATCCTATTATACTCAACTCTCATACATAATTCCACTCCCTTTTATCTTTCCTACTGAGATAGTTTGTTTTTACCATCCTGTATTAAATGTAGCCTTTTATGATTTATTTAAATTGATTATCCAGTTTTGGCAAATAATAAAAGTCTTTTTTGTTGGTCCCTTCTCAAGTATTATATAAATATCTATATCGTTTAAATTACTGTTCCGCCTTTTATTGTGATTGCATATTTTAAATGGGAAATTGTTGTAATGTATTATCCGGTGTAAGTATCTATACAATTTGTAATTTTAAGGATTTTATTTTTAATAAATCTTTAAAAAAAAATAATATTTTTATTAACCTTAATATTATTGGCGTTTTGATGAATACAGGTCCGCCTTAGATTAGGCTGAGTCTCTTAGATACACAGACTTTGGGGCAAAAAAAAAGAAAGTCCTGGACAGGGATTCTTATGTGCGTACTATGAAGACTAGAGAGAAGGAGGCGAATCGGCAATGGTCAAATTTCAAATTTCCGCCCTTCTTTTTATAAAGTTCGCGAAATTGACTGTAGTTGGCATGTCTAATGACAGCGGAGTCAATTTTCTATAAGTGATTTTTTGAAAAATTGGTGAAAAGAATTAAAATAATGTGAAAAAAAGTACCTGAGCACAAGTAACATGAGTGACAAAAAACATCAAAGCAAGATTTACGTCATTCCAGATTGTAAAACAGAATAAATATCAAACGTAAAACTAAAGAAAACACAAGAATAAATCAATTTAATGTCTTTTTAAAGCTTCTAATGTAAGTAAAATAATGTATTCATGTCTAAATATAATATGTATTGTAAACTAGTCACAATATGTATCTTACGAAGTGTAGTTTATTTTATTACAAGTTTCTATAATATAAAATTTTACAGTTATAGATGCTGATTTACAAACAACAATAATTATGCATTAAATTTAACTTACTAGAAAAGAAAATTTATTTTTTATAGAGTTTTAATGTTAGATAAAAAGTTGCTACTGTTATTTTTTTGTTGAACCCCAATTTTGTCATTGTAAATGTTTTTTATAGGATACTAAACGTTTAGAACAGTGGCAGCATATATATCGCTCCTAGTGCCGATAAAGCACTTTCTAGAGATGATGCTGTTTTATACTTTTTAGAAGATATCAAATATTATGAGACTATTTTTACTAATGGTACTGTTAGCAAAATATAAAGGGGAAAGCTGAAATTAAAGGATGAGGTAATACCATGTATATCCCCAAATATCCCTTTATACTTGTATTACAACAATAAAAAAAACTGTTAACTGTGTTTTATTTTACTCTTAAAACTATATATTGGTTCAATTCAAAAAATATTTTGCCACAAAATTGTACTTATCAAATTTCAGCATTTAAGAAACCTAATTTGTATTTTATATAGATAAAATTAAATAATTTATCAATTAAAACATGCAAGACTTATTTAGAAGTAAATACAACAGTATGTTCTGGGCTTTATTTAGCTATAAACAAGTTTATTTTTAGTATTTTGACAAAATTATGTATAATTCCCTTAAGAAGCCATGTATTTTGAACACCGTATTCAGTACCAGCGCCCATGCGGTTAATTATAGAAGCTCAATTAGCATACGTTTTTTGGGACCGTATTTTGAGTATGCTGATTCGTCTCCTTATCTCTAGTCTTCATAGTGCGTACTCAACACGTGCCGAATTGAGAGATGAGAATGCCAATGCTTTTGTGACTTTATTGGTTATTATAGTTAGCTAAAATTAGATATTCTAATATGCTGTCAAAAAAATCAAATATGGTCGCCTGATGGCACCCAAACTTTTGATAACGTATTTATTGAAGTAGTTTTGATTCATTATTACCTTAAATAACGGAAACTGTACTTTTGGGGGTGGATTTAGAACAAAAACACTGTTTAGTGTGTGATTTGAATATTATTTTAATCATTAGCGTTACGTTTTAACTACAGTTGCTCGTTTTATTGGAAGACATTGGAAATATAGTATACTATAAATAGTAAGGCTACAAAGGTATGTAATAAAAAGAAAATACTTTGCATTCGCTTGATTTATGTTTAACCTTAAATTGCTATGTGGGTTCTTTAGTCACAGGATTACATTTTTCACCCTCCAGTTGAATAATGACTATTCTTATGAATAATATATATTGATTAATTAAATGGTGCTGTTTTAGTTTGTCCCTCATGTTTTGTAATAATAAGTGGTTAAATTTTGCTTAAAAATTTGGTGTTTCTCCAGTGAATACATATTAATTACCCTCTTGGTGGAAGTAGAATCAATACATAGCATGTCATGGTCCATTTAAGTAATTCAAATACAGTAATTATTATTTTGTATTAGGCATAGCCGTACTTTTACAGCGAACATGTGGCAACTATGATATCATCGCTATCTAGCTTTGTGCCTCACATTCGGTTCGGCTAATATCCCACCACCATATCTTCTAATTCTAGTCTATGACGACGACTAGCTGTTGCCATTTTATTAATTTCTATACTAGTAGTATGCCCAACACGAAAAAATAAGCACTGTATTTAAATCAAATCTTACTGATTTTTCTGTTGATGGAATAAAAATAAAACCTGAAAAAATCTTTCAATAAAAACAGTTTGCTGATGAAAGTAATTACTTTGAATTTATTTCTTAATCCAGGAAAAAACTTTTTGTGACTACAAATCTAATAGTCTGGGATCAATTGTTGAAAATGGTAAACAACTGTTCTTGCTGCAAGGAAACATGCTGAAAAACAGGTGTATCTTCTTCTGAACTTCAAGCTGTTGTTATACATAAAATGTCTCTGGTATTCTTCTGCCGTGATTGTCGCTTACGATTTATAAGTATGTCCAAAACTCTTGCGTGAAATGGAGACTCAAATCTGAAGTTACATCTTTGAAACAAAAAACATCTCATGACTTAAGGAAAATAAGATTGCGATTGCTTTTATGGGTGAAGTCGTTAATGAAATAAATGAGCATCACGAAAGAGAAAAAACTAAAATGAGATAAAAGTCTTTCGTTTTGGTAAGAATAACAAAAATGAACATCATTCTCTCTAAGTAATTTTATCTTCAGTTATAAATGTTCATTTAATACTCAAAAATAAAACATTATTCGAAATAAAAAAAATGTTCAATCAGGTAATGTTGTAGTTGACGGGTCGAGTAAATGACTCGCGTATTGGGGACAACACTAATAATTTGTAATTGCTGTGGTGGGAGGTGTTTGTGTGAATGCGTCTTGTTTGTTTTCATTTACGCCGTGATTAGCAGTAGTATTTTATAAACCTTAGAAGCAAATTTCACATACTTGAACAAATAATAATAATGCCGTGACAACAAGAAGACGAAGCAACGACTTCTCGTAAAGTGGCGGCTTCGCCGCCACCAGAAAATTTCAAACCGTACCTGGCTACGCCGACCGGCATAAACACCAACGGACTGGACACAGCCACCTACTCTGTTAAAAAGAGACCGACGTACAAATAAAACATACGACATGCGCACTACAAATGATTAGTGTTGTCCCCGATACGCGAGTTTTCCAGAACCTTCAACTACAACATTACCAATCAATTGGATCAAACTCCTTATCAGACACAACCCTAGAATCTGTAAGAACTGAACTCTCTGTTCGACAAAATTCAGGTGACCAGGATTTAACAATTAAATATGTTAATAATGTACCCAAGATCGTCCAAAAAAAACATTAAAGAATTGACATGGGCAAACTATACTACCAAAATGTTAGAGGACTTCGAACCAAATTAACTGAATTAAGTCTCAATATCTCAAACAGTTTTTAAGACATCATTCTAACAGAAACTTGGCTTACTGCCGACTTTAATGATTATGTACTTGGCCTTACCAGAGACAACCCAACGAGACGTGTAACTCAATGTATTTTTTTTGTTCGGTAAAAGTTGTTTGTGCGATTGTAACCACAACCAGTCTATGATGGCGCCACTAGTAAATAGCGGGAAAATTAAAAATGCTTTAGGGCAGGAAATTCAAACATAGATTCATAAATAAATAGTTTTTCTATACAAATTTACAGGGGAAACAAAAACTATTGTTTCACTGTATATTAAAAAATATAAAAGCTTCCAAAAACATCAAATTTTTTATCATATAAATATTCATTTTAAT